ACTTGTACAGCAGGGTGGGCTACGGTACAAATTATAGAATAGAACTGATGAATGTGTTGTCGACAGCAATAAGACAATGGGCAGCAACTGCTTCTCCGATATATGTACTGATAGATGATTTTCAATGGGGCTTGATAGAGTCAAGTATAATTTAGAGGATGCCTTGCTGGACGAAAGACAAAAACCTTAAAGTTTGCAGGATTTTATGGTCGGCCGGTTTCAAACTTACAATTTTATCTGCAGCTCGACATGCCCACCTCGATGATGTCAAAATACACGTCAAAGAGCTATCTCCTTCACACCGAGAGCCGAGTTCGTCTCTAACGGCGACAGTAGTGTCACGATTGAGGTTCGCCGGGTAATTTATGACAGCTTCTGTGTCGGGATGAGAGAAGGATAAGCGGTATCAGAGTGCTTTGACCACCGGTGGAAGGTAACGCAAATCTCACGATGTACCATGGCTTACTAATGGTTGAGGTCAGGCATTTAACCCATACGGGGCTGGCTTTTTGCAGAGAATAAATTTTGTTGGCGGTACATTTTTATGGGCTAACATTCAGGGTGTTGTAGTCCTCTATTTGCCCACGCGCGACATGGTAACACGACCTATGGCAAAAAGGTAATATAAGTCCTTCTGCCCTAATATGCAATAGAAATTTTCACCTACTGATGTATCGGGCAATCGATCCGGGACATAAATTTCATACTCAGCGAAGATGCACCGGCTTCAATACCTGCTCCTCCATACTTATATTAATTCTGTCTCACTTCATTACGGGCATGGAATGCGAGATGTAATTAGTCGTGTTGATGTCGGCGTGCGATTTTTTTGTATCTCCAGCCAGTTGAACGCTTGTCCAATTTATCTTGCACTCTGCACTTGTGCAAGTTGTGCATATTTGAGATAGACGACGAAGATGGAGGCCACTACGCAAAAAAATTGAAAAGCATTCCTTCAAGGTGCCGTACTGAAGGAGCTTAAAATTTAGTTAAACGTAAAGAAAAGACAGAATATCACGTGATCACGAAATACATACCGCTGAACACATGAAGAGATATCCGGTGGGTTAGAGCGTCCTTTTTCAACCACCGCACATAATCCAATGCGTCTGAAGGTGAATATGCTTTCGATCAGGTTGTATTACCTCAGATTTTTTTTGTCGCACCTGAGCTTTAGGCAGATTTTCCAACAATTTTGTGTCGTACATTCTGGACATTTTTTAGTGCAAGTCACTGCCGGGACTGTCTACTAGTGGCGATGGCTTCGCGCTATGAAAGTACTAACATAAACGTCTGTGTGTTTGACAGGGCTTACTGGGGGTCCCAAAAGGCATGAAAATGAAACTAATAATCCTTCGACCTAGGCGCAGATTTGGCAATTTCAGGCTGCAAAAATTCCAAAAGATTAAGAGCTACGGCATTTTGATGCATCTACCACACTGCTTGCCATTTTAGTTCGAGTGCCTCCACCGCAGGGACGAAATGTTTATGACACAAGTGGTACACACAGCCAGAGTCGAGAATCTCTTTCGACGGTCGGGCCGACGGCTTCGTGGATCAATAAAACATGGTGAAAAATGGAGGCGAACTGCCCCTATTTTACACCACGATGTCCTCCCTGGCTGAAAAGCTACGATAAATAACAATTGTTGCTAGCGCTACTATCGAACGATGCCCGAAATTGATATGCCTTTAATGTTTCGACGGAGCATCGAGAGAATTTCCAGGGACGTGCTTGGCAGGTTTCGGCATAGTCCAACTCCACATTGATATGCACGCCGCATGATTCATATGGGTATTGAGTTTGGTGTATCGCACTGCAGATACCAATAAATTTGTGCTGAATATTGAAGATCGCGCAAGGTCCACAACAAGACTAGACCAGCGGTTATCTGCCACTGCATGTATCAGGGAAAGAGTGCCTATTCTTTCGCAACTTTGTACATGTCACCCTACATGAAGCCACACCTGGCTCTCATTAATCAAGAGGCACGGACCGTGACTGACGTCCCCTATCTTTCCAGCTGAGTGTGTTACCATAGCAACTACAACTAATGGCGAACGATTTGTGAAAGTCGCTGTAGGTGTAGGATCTTCCATACAAGTGCTTGCTCTCTCAGACTAAGGTGTTATCACGTACTCTAAGGCCTTCATCGTCAATAATTTCATTAACTGTCTCGAGACCTCTCACGCCACACACCACGAAATTCAAGGCCTGCGCTTTCACTGTGAGACCTGATCATCTCGAGACAAGTCTCTGTGCGAAGAAAAAATTCCTCTCGAAGTCTATTACTACCTGGTATTTCAATTAATAGTTGCCAAAAATCCGTTTTATCTAGCGAATAGAAATAGTTGTTAGTAAGCGCACCGACGTATACAACATTTCATTGATCTGTAGAATCTTAGGGAGCTATCTCCAACAATGTTAAATTCAATTATATGCTTTTACCTGTCTAAGTCCTGATAACAAATTTTTACACAACTAGTCGACTCGATAGGTTTTTGTGGAAGATTGTGTTTATACAACTAAAATTTTGCGCGTACCTGCGCTCTCGACCATTTCGTATAACGTCATCATGATTTCCGATATTGGGCCCCTGATCACGGTTCTATCCTCGCGGTCCCCTCAGACTAGTCCCTGACCCGTAATATAATTCTCGTCTTATTACCTTAATCTCCTTTCCGCGATCTTAAACGGTGCTTGAAGATAGCATTCTGCCCGTTGGCGCCTCAAACGGTGACTTTAAATTCAACGGACTTTTTTCCACAACTCGTTAATTTATAACCGGTTTGTGCATTACTGGGAGCCCAAATTTAATCTTCTCGATCTCGATATGCTTTACCACAATCAACCGTGCACAAAGAGCTGATCTGCAAAATGTGACTTGCCTGTGCACGTTTCAATCTTCACCCTCCGTCCTGCCATCACTACGTCAATTATGGTGTCTCCGTCGTTTACTCCTATTTATTGACCATAAGACGCGTCCGCAAAAGGGGCGTACTGCTTTGCCAGAAGTTGGCATCACCTAGCTCGGCACCTTCAAGCACGACTACCATTGACGGTGATGAGGGTTTGTCGCACTTTACGGCACCTTCAGTCGCTGGTAACATGGCTTGAGTGAAGGTTTATCGTCTTCAGCTGCGGCTTACATTGTTAGTGACACTCCTGCGAATGAGTCAATACCACCTTCAGCTGCGCCGTCCGTCGTTAGTGACGCACGTGTAAGTGAATATCCATTGCCATCTGTTGCACCGGTCATCGTTGGTAAAAGTGTTGTGAGTGAAGGTTTATCGCCTTCGACTACGACCTCTATCGTTGGTGACACCTCTATAAGTCACGGTTCTATCGCTTTCGGCTATGTCGTCCGTCATTAGTTGCACCCATGCGAAAGAACGTACATTGCAATCTTCTACGCGTTCGGTCGCTCATGAGACCATTTTAAATAATAATTTGCTCGGATCTGCATCGTCGTCTGCTTCTACTCCGTCCAAATCTTGTTATGCCAACATGAGAAAACACTCGGTTTCGATCCTGCGACCGCTGATGGTGATCAGAAACTTGAACTTTGGCCCTATCGGAGCGATCCCGTTGCCAACCATCCAAGTCGAGTCGACAATGATCACTTATGAGGCATCTTTAGTTATACAATTTATGTCCTGTATCAGCGGATCGATTTTGGAAGGACTTTGCCGAGATCTACCGCGACCTGGAGCAAGCGATAAGGGAACAGACACGTCATGGGGATCAGCTTAGGAAGGACCTGTGTTCTCTTGATGACTCGCATTCGTTGTTCGTGACCTTTCTTTAAGTCCACTGCGACCATCTCCGCCTTAAACTCGATGATAAACTCGCGGAGGCAGCCTTGCTTCAGGGGGATATCTTTGAGGGGTAGTGCTGGGAGCAACAAATCAATTATTTGTTATTAAAGCTTGTAATATGACCCCATCGCGTCATGCTGTCCAGGAGCGTCAAGATCGTGAGTTGGAATTAATGCAACAAATTATGGAAAAGGGGAATGCACGAATGTACGCCTAGCCTTTGCAAAAAAAACATGCCATCTCCAAAAGGCCAATTTAGAGAAAGCCAAATGTAAAACTTCGTATTTAGGGGCCCAGAAATGAAATCGCAAATTGCACAATAGTCTCGTAGGTTGGAGATAAAGCGCTACCAACATCTAGACGATTCGTGAAGAATAATAACTAATCGCGATCGCTCCTCGATCTTAGATCGGGACGAAGAAGTAAGTCGGCTATAGACCCAGACCATAGATTTGGAAACCGAGCGCGATCGAGCATTGCAAAAGCGCGACACTCTTTAAGATAGTGTAGCACGTTTTGCTTCGAGCTTACTCTTGCCCCCTTCTTTCACTTACGGCTTGGTGGCATCATTAGTCACTTGTTATCAGGCATAAAAGATTCGGCGGTGTAACGGGGCACCCTGAAGCTTGTACTGGTGACAGTACAAGCTACTTATTCTGATAACAGAATAAGGTGGTGCCTCGTAACTTCACGTACACTTGTACGTGCAGAGGAAGACGGTAAGAAGAAGCGAGTACTTGGTTAGAGTAAAAAGTAGAACTGTATTTAGTATAGTTAATGTCTGCAATAAATCACTATTTATCTTCATCTAACAATGTCTGAATACAGATGTGTAAATCAATTATCTGCTCACCACTCATTGCGTGCTTCTGTCGTGGCGCGTCTTCGTTGGTTGAAATAATGGCCTATATCAACCAATTAGGAACTACTTGTAAGTACTGCAGAATATGTGTCCTTATGACAATGTTCTAAAAATATAACTCTTGTAGTTGTACTCTATTAACAATTTCTTATAAATTGTTATGTAACGATTCACCCCGTTACATCATCACCCCTTAACCATCAGTCACTTTAGTGACTGATTGACTAAATGGATACTCGTCTTGAATCATTTGGGACAAGGTTTGCACTTGTTGGTCCGCGTCCACTTTCCAACATCTCATCGCATGGTTAACAAGCCCATGCGATGCGCGAGCAAGGCCGCCGAGAGCGCGTCTGCACGTCTCTGTGCAGACGCCGAAGCAGAAACCACAGCAACTGATGTGTCATCGGTTGCTGAAGCGACTCAGCCTGTGTCACCTGGTGATGCAGGCGCTGGTCATGAAGACACTCGTGTCTTCACAGAGTACGAGCTCGGTGTCTCGTACTCTCCTGATACGGATGACGGATCCGTATCGACGGCGATCGAATCCAAGCCGCCTGCCAAGCGTGGCATGGACGATGCTTTGCGTCGCAGCATCTTTGGTTCATCTGACGAATCAGATGAGCCATCGCCGAAGCGAAGGCGCTCGAGGTCGCGAGACTCGGGCGCTAATAGTGGTGTCGGTTCTCCTATGGACACCACTTTACAGCGAGGTGCCAGTACTTCTGTCGGCACGTTGCAGGAAGAGCGGGACCGCAATGTCTTGCGTCTCGCTCCAGAAAAGAAGGCATGAATGCCTCCAAAATCCGTCATGGATCACTTGTCGGCGACGACGAGTGATCGTTATCGAACACGATTGTTCGATTCGTCAAGGATCCATCACCTTGACCCCAGCGCGAAAAACTATCGCGCTGAACATGAATTCTTCATTGATGCTTTCTTTAGACATCGATGGTACAGTGGGAATCACAAGCGTGATGGTCCCTCACTACTTCAGGCGTGGAACGCCTACATCCATAACCTCGAGGATGTAGGTCGTGACGCTTGTAACGACAAACTTATCAAAGCTCGTGATAAGTTTGAAAAGCGAACCCCGACAGGTGCACGCTACAAGCTGCATCGTCTGTCTAAGGAGAAAGGATTACCCTGCCTCTCTTGGGAAGACCCGTGCCCATGTTGTGTGAACAACTCTGCACGAGCACCTAAGGAGGCTTACCTCCTTACCAGCCCGTGGTGGCGCGTACGTGTTTCTACTGAGATGTACGAAGGGATTGACAACCTGAAATCCCTTTACGACCGTGCCGGGAAGACTTTCTCCGGCGGTCCCTCTGCGGCACAGGAGGTGCTGCGTCGTACTGCTCAACCAGTCCCAGTACGTCGACCATCAGTTGGGAGCGGGGCTCCCAAGAATCCCAGGACGGGGGATAGCCGCGCCACCGGACGAGATAACTCGTCCGACGTCCGTTCACGTCGCGGTGGTTCAACAGCTGCTCAACTAGATAGCGCTGGACACCGCGAGAGTCCTCTAATGGAGGTGGAGGAGGAGGAAAGACGCTCTCCACACGATCATGTGGATCGGTGTGTTCCCGAGAGCTTCTTTGATCGCGTAACGCAAGGGTTACGCGGCGATCTCGAACATGAGCGGAATAGACGTCTCCAACTGGCGGACACTGCCTCGAAGCATCGAGCTGAGTTTGCCTTTGCTCAGCTTGAGAACGAGAGATCTCTGACATCTCTTCGTGACGAGCTAAGGGTAGCTCGTGGGATTGTTGATCGGTCTCGGGCTGAGATAGCTGCTCTTCAGACCCTTGTTGATGCCCACCATCGGGAGCACAAGGCTCTCTGCGAGATGCTTGAGCGCAAGGGCGTTCTTCATCGGAAGAAGCAGCGTACTGATGGTACGGCTTAAGCCGACCAACGTAAAACGTGGGATGCGTTCGCATCTTACGTGGTAACTCGATCGTGTATGCATTGCCTAGGCGATGCAATACACGAAATGGGCCGATGTACTTGGGTAGTAGTTTACTGCTACCCAAGTTAGTCACTACATGCTTTGGTAGATTAACCGTAGACAGTAGGACTAGGTCACCTTTATTAAATAAAAGAGTGTTTGCCCTTCCATTCTTGTCAGCGTTTTGCTTTTGCTTATCCACCGCTTCGGCGATGGAGTCTTGCACAAAACGGACTACCATTTCACGAGTCAGTATGAACTCATCTGATGACTCGTTAGCTTCAGTGTGCTGTGAGCGCACTGCAGCAACATCAACCTTTTCTTCAGTGAGGGCTTCCGCACTCTCACTGGGATCATTGTCTTCAGTGAGGGATTCTGCACTCTCACTGGCATCATCTTCTTCGATATCGATGTTATCGATATCGGCATCAAACGCAATGACTTCTTCGTCAGAGCGTGATGAGTGTGAACCAATTCGGTTTTTGCTCGCGCGAGTCCCTCCCCCCCCTTAAACCAGAGTTACACTCTAGTAAGGTGGGTACACGCGGATGGCGCAAGCCATTCACGTAAAAACGGTGTATGTGTCGTGGACGCATGCACCGAGTTGTTGATGGCAAACTCTACCATTGGCAAAAACTCACTCCAACTCTTAAAGGAGTGTACGTATCCTCGAAGTATCTCTTCAAGGACACGATTGGCACGTTCCGTCTGACCATCTGACTCTGGATGATCAGATGTTGACATCTTCAAGCGCGTTCCGAGTGATTTGAACACGGAACGCCAGAAATCAGCAGTGAATCGTGGATCTCTGTCTGATACGAGTTCACGGGGCAACCCATGAAGTCGGAAGATGGTGTCAATAAAGACACAAGCACAGCCACTTGCCGTGATTGTCTCTGGTACAGCCACAAGGTGTACCATTTTGCTGAATCTGTCAACAAATACGAGAATACCCGTATTCCCGCGTGCGTCTTTGGGTAACCCGAAGACGAAATCCATTGAGATGGATTCCCAGCACTCAGCCGGAACCGGTAGAGGCTGTAAAGGTGCACGCAGTGAAGGACTTGACTTCACTCGTTGGCAGACTTCGCATGCGCGAACATACTTTCGCACAAACTGATACTGGCGGGGCCAGTAAAAGTCTCGACTTACCGTGATATATGTTTTCTCTCGGCCACGATGTCCTCCTATAGGAGCATCGTGATACTCGAACATGATCCGCAAACGCAGATCAGTATCATCTGGAATGACAACACGTGGTGTGTCACCAGAAACGGCTGTATAGTACAGTAAACCGTTGCGAGTAGTGTATCGATCTGATGCAGATAGATACGCAGACGACAATCGTTTCAACGATTCTCGGGATGGTTGGGAGAGATGTGTCAACAACTTCACAATCTCACCATCTTGGGCGTATGCCCGCCTCACATCATCATACAACGTTGTAGATGGAACTGAGGACGTCATAACCGCAACAGTGACTGTCTCACTGTTGGGTTTCGCGACTGTTTCAAAGTCGGGACGACGTGAGAGTGCATCAGCGACGACATTAAGTCGTCCTGGTTTGTACTCGACCGTAAAGTTGTATTCTGCAAAGAATGACAACCACCGCGCCATTCGTTGTGAAAGGTGCGGGCTGTTCACTGCCGTGCGTAATGACGCATGGTCAGTGTAAACAACGAAGGGTCTGTCTCCTAAGAGATAGACTCTGAACTTCGCGAGTGCATACTTCATGGCAAGGAGTTCCTTGTCATGCACTGGATAGTTCCGCTCAGCTGGTTGCAGCTGACGCGACTGATAGCAGACGACGCGTTCAACGCCTTCTAGATCGTACTGCATTAATGCACAGCCGATTGCGAAATCGCTGGCATCACAGACCACATGAAATGGCCTGTCCTGATCGACAATTACTAGGACTGGGGATTGTATCAAGCCCTGCTTGATACCATCAAAGGAGCGCTGACATTCAGCGTTCCATAACCACCTCTCGTTCTTTTTCAACAAACGAGAGAGGTGCACAGTCATCTCGGCGTAATTGCGTGAATACTTATGCAAATACGCCGCTAGCCCAAGGAATTTTCGAAGACCTTTGACATCGACCGGCACAGGCCAGTCGGTGATCGCCTTGATCTTTTCGGGATCAGGACGTACACCGTTCTTACCAACGATGCACCCAAGAAGTGGTATTTCGCTTGCTGCAAATATACACTTCTTGAGGTTAGCATACAATTGATGCTTTCGCATGATTGTAAGAACTTGTCGGACGTGGTGTCTGTGACCTCAACGTCCGACTTTCCATCCATAGCTCGACTATGGATGAATACGTCATCGAAATAACTCGGCGCGAATTCTCGTACTGGTCTCAACAGATGTGATACAAATCTGTTGAACGTGGCAGAGTCATTACGAATCCCTTGTGGCATTACTAGCCATTCCCAGAGCATGCCGTTAGGCGTGCTCACTGCGGTATAGGGTATATCCCGTTCTCGCACAAGGATTTAATAGAAGCCATCCATCAAATCCATGGACGAAAAGATGGTACTCTTTGACATACCATCAATGATTACGTCCTTCCTCGGTATCGGCGTCTGAGCCGGTACCGTTGCAGCGTTCAATTTGTTAAATGCATGCACTATCCGCCACCCTCCTGTTGCTTTTCGCACACAGAAGATCGGAGAGCTATGTGGGGAAGTTGATTCCCTCACATGGCCCGCAGCTAAACGATCGGCAAAGAACTTGTCGATCGCAAGTACTTGTTCACGAGGCAGTGGCCACTGCTTCATGACACAGTACTTCGAGCCTGGTTTAAGCTGGACCTCGTGTCGAATACCTTCATCCTTCGGTAATTCGCACGGAACAGTTTCAGGGAATACATCCTTGAATTTAACCAAATCTTCATCGAGAGGATTTTTCTTGAGCGATTCCCATGATTGGGAGTCATATCGCTCAACTCGTGTCTTTTCATCCAGGACACTCTCGTCCATAGATGAACTACTGAGAACTCTCTCGTTCTCAGTAAACATTGTTGCTGACCTTATGTCGGCTACACACTCGTCGTCAGCGACGAGTATGCAGATCTGCTTGACTTTGCCACTACGCAGATCACGCAAGAACCTTTTATGTTCGAGCGTTGGCAACTGAGTGATCTCCGAAGTTAACTTCGGAGGCGCAATCAGATCAAGTGTATAAGCGCCTACACTTGATCCGTTATTGACTATGACATTCAATGTCTCTGTCATTGACTGGGGACTTATTCCCTCAGGCTTCGAAGGTCTTATTCCTTCGTCTTCCCGGGGACTTATTCCCGCGGGTTTCGGGGAACTTATTTCCGCCGTATTTATAATCTTGGGACTTATTCCCTTTACTTCCTCTAGCTGGGGTTGCGCAACCACAGCGAGATCCTCTACGAAAGACTCTCCAGTCGATCTAGGATTATCGTTTCGCTTAACCTGAGCGATCGATTGTTTCTCTTCTAGATGTTCCCCTCTAGGGATACATCATTGTCCCAGTCCACCCGACTTATTCGAGTGGTGGACCTTCGGCGCAGCCTGTGTTTCCTCACAGCCGCCGGAACTTTGCTCCGAAGTGTAACCGTTTGGTACACTAAGGTTTTGTGCAGTCGTACTAACGACCGTACCACAAGTGAGGCCATCGCACTCACTCGTAGTACATCCACACGCTTGTGGACGCTCCAAAACGTTCATTAGATGGCCATCTGATGAACAAGCGGCAGGCATCGTTACTGTCCGATGTTGCCAGTTTACCCGTGGTTCGTACCTTCTGAGCCACGGTATTACAAGGATGACATCAAATTTGTCATCCAAATCCAATACGATAAAGTCATCATCATCATATTGGGTATCTTCTAGCGTATAGTGGATCTTCACTATACGCTTCATGACGGTTACGGATGCGCCTGGCGCAAGACGTATCGTCATCCTCGTAGGAGGTGTGTCACATTCACTGAATTTAAAGTGACCATCTTCTAGCGATTGGCGTCGCACAAAATTGTTGGACGCCCCACAATCGACTAGAGCTCGAAGGGACAACTTATTCGTCACTTCGAGTTTCAAGGTAATGAGTGAGATCTCATTACCTAGAGCAGCAACGCACAACGTTTGTGTGTTGGGAGCAACCTTCATCAAGAGGCCTACAAATTCTCTTGACGTTGCTGGATCAGTAGGGTGCTTCGCACCTACTGATCCTGTCCGTTTTTTGACGGTCGATCCCGTTGCTGCGTCTTTGCACCAACTGCGGACCCGCGTCCCTGCCCCTTTCCCACGGGTGGACGGTCACTACGCCCAGTGTTGCGAGACACTGGACGAGGGGCACTACACTCGTAAGCGTAGTGTCCTGTCTGTTGACATCTGTTGCATCTCTGCAACTTCTTGTAGTCTGTAGAGCGAGCCTTCTCGCTCTCTACATAACAGAGTTCCATCGGCTCTGGACCTCCGTTGTCATATCGTCTCGGTTGACGATATGATGTCGAGCTGGCGCGAGCCTGTCTCAGACTGAAGTCTTCCTGTTCCGCAATGGAAATGGCTTGTTCTAGTGAATCTAGTTCAAGCCGGAACAGGTGAGTCTTGACGGGATCATCCGCAAGACCCCGCATGAACACCGAAACCAACGTGTGTTCATCCACCGGATTGGAACTTATACAACTCGTGAGATGTCGTATATGTTGAGCGTAAGCGTGCACATCACGCTTACCCTGCTTGACCTTCAAGAGTTCGGTTCGAGCCCTGAACTCAGCTCTAGGCGGTTCAAACGTTTGTCTGAGCCGCGACTTGAAGACTTCCAACGACCCAAACGCATATGGGTCGTGCAGCTTGAGCCCCTGTGCCCAAGTCTTGGCACGTCCTGCCAGATTTGACTGGGCAAATGCAACTTGCATATCCCCGTCGTCGATGCGACGCGCCCTTATGGCGTCATCTAATTCGACGAACCATCTCAAGAGGGAGTCCTCTTCGACTCCCCTATACTTGGAGATGTCAATCCCAAGGCTTCGGGTCGACGCGAGATCATCGACCCACCAGCAGCAGCCTGCTGCTGTCTCAACAGTTCAAACTGTTGAGCACCCTGTTCTCTCAACAACTCTGCTTGTTGAGAACCATGTTGGTGAAGCAAGGCTACTTTCTCGCGTTCAGCGTCAAGTTCATTTTGAATGAACTTGGCGATAGTAGCATGTTGGGCATCTCTATTGAGAGCCTCTAGCATGACGCTAACAGCATGGATGCCCATGGTCGAACCAATTCGTTCAACCTCATCCCATTCGACATCGCTTAAATGGGAGTAGCCGTCACGCGTAGCGTGAAAGCTTTGGTCATCTTCATCATCCAACATACATATGTTGGATGTGAACGCGGTCCTTGGACGGACTACGAAGTGCTACCAGGTGTAACGGGGCACCCTGAAGCTTGTACTGGTGACAGTACAAGCTACTTATTCTGATAACAGAATAAGGCGGTGCCTCGTAACTTCACGTACACTCGTACGTGCAGAGGAAGACGGTAAGAAGAAGCGAGTACTTGGTTAGAGTAAAAAGTAGAACTGTATTTAGTATAGTTAATGTCTGCAATAAATCACTATTTATCTTCATCTAACTATGTCTGAATACAAATGTGTAAATCAGTTATCTGCTCACCACTCATTGCGTGCGTCTGTCGTGGCGCGTCTTCGTTGGTTGATATAATGGCCTATATCAACCAATTAGGAACTACTCGTAAGTGCTACAGAATATTTGTCCTTATGACAATATTCTGAGAATATAACTCTTATAGTTATATTCGATTAACAATTTCTTATAAATTGTTATGTAACGAATCACCCCGTTACAGGCGGCGCCCCCGACCTCCGTGGAAAACGTTCCAGAACCATCGCTTCCATTTTTCTGCTTTGACAGGAATCACAAGAAAGTTGCATCATGTATTTCTCGTGCTCCTCCGCAGTATTCAGCCAAGAAGAAACTTGGGACTTCCGTTTCGATTTTAGTATGGTGGTCTCATCGTGTCCTTTTCATTACCGAAAATCCCAAGAAAGTTAATTTTTGTCCTTCCCGCGTTTACCTAGAATTTCATTAAAGTGAACCGACCAAGGCGTCCGTTTCACCCGGACTTGCTGTTTTTAAAAGCAAAGGCAAGTAGTGAGTCCAGAATTCTGCTACGTTTAGCTCGGATATCGATGGATTGCAGCACGCAGGGTCTTTAGAATCTCGCCGCACTTTACAAATCGTGCCCTTCTTATCGGCGTAGGGTCCAGCTTGGTAGCTAGATAACTTCGCTCTCCGCTTCTTGGATCTAATAGTGGTTGACAAACCCAGCCTGGCTCTGAGTTCTGTCGCCTTCTCTATCACTGCATACTCTCAAGTTAATATTGTTTAATGAAGCTTCTAGCAGTTCTGACAGCGTGATTAGTGACTCAAAAGAATTCCGAGTTTCCGTCCGCACTCATTGGCCCTGTCTGAGTATGATGCTCTTTTTAAAAACAAGGTGACCCGTGATCATATGCCACCTAGATATGGCGATCGCATTTTAAAAACACCCGGCTAAGTATCACCTTGGACTGATCGAAAAGTGATCCAGATTAGAGTGTCTGAGCCGGGTTCGGGGTTATCCATCCTCCACCTCGCAATATCCAAGCATAATTCTCTCCCAGCACCCCCCCCCACGATATCACGACCTCCTCCAGTGTCAAAGGGGTACTCCCACCTAATTTTCTCGGCATAGGTCGATTAGCTTTTCCGCCAATATCCTTGGACAGTTCTCAAGACAAGGATCGTGCCTGTGTCTTTTCAGACCAGTAGATGGTTCAAGCAGTTGCTAGATATGTACCTCATATTAAAATACAGAGTTATCCATACTTAATTGAGATCAACCCACATTTTACCTATTTCCACAGCAAAATAGAGCTCATGTTCCAGAATTGGCTTCAAAATGCGATCAGCGAAAGCAGCGGCGGTCGAGATCTGGCCCTCGCTGGCAGGGAGATTTCCGATTCATATTCCAGTGTATGATAGAAGGCCACTGTGACATGGAAATTCTGATGGACCCTTCTTTTTAATCTGCCTCGCCTGACGGAGAATCCATTTCGGTAACATGGGTTAGAAACTCAGCAATCAATCATCATCAAGTTAATTTCCGCATTATTTTTGACAAATCCTGCCAAGCCGTGGAGCTAGAAAATTAGTACTGATCTTCGATCGTAGACCATTCGGTCATGTCAATTTTTCGCCTAGCTACTAGGTTTTGTTTAGTAGTCCATATGACTCTACTTATCTTTCCAGTTTACATTCCAATTCTTCATGCTTTTTTATTGTTGATAAATTCATGAATTTATCCTTTTTTATCAGCTTATAAGCGATCGTATACCGATCGCCACACAGATACGCAAATCCATTTTTTGTTCATGCACCACCTTTTCGTGCAGTTATCCCACCGTACAGCTATATTTAACTTCGTTGCAGATTTACACACTCCATTCACCCCGATCTGGTCAAGCTCCCTGAATCTTGTCGAGCGATTGCATTACTTCAAATAGGTTCCACTTCTCTCGATTGCGATCAAATTCCTGTAGTAAAGCGCCGCAATTTTAATATTGATATTTCCACCCGTGACGGATCTATGTGACCCTTGCAGTTTACCAGTAATTGACGGCTCACTCGTCCGTACCAAAGTTTTTGGCCTGACCCAACATCCACAATTTTCTACATCTCGAACTAGTCCTTTATCTGATTCACCTTTCCATCTATTTTTGGTTAGAAATTTCATCATAACCTACTCGATCAGACCTTACTACGTTTAAACCGATTCTAAGGCCACTTCGTAAATACCTTCACTAGCTTTAACGTTGAAACCCAGGGGAACAACCGATAGGGTGTGCCTGTGAATGCCAATCTTCCCGCATAATTGCAGCGCATCTCAGCTACCGAAACGTTCTATGTCACACATAATCCATCTTTCGAGCGTACTTTTTAACGCGATCCAATTCTAGCCACAGTTTTGACCCGAGATCTTTGTACAGTAGATTGTGGTCTTCTCTAATACGATCGGCTTGTTGTTGAATCGCTATCTTAATCTAATCACTCACGGTCGCTCTTGCTCGTTAAAATTAGCAATGCGTACCTTACCGCCATCTTCTGGGATTACGATTACGAGGCTTGATGCTCCCTAATAGTAGAGATGCCTCTTATGACGATAGCGGTTCTCAGCCATGAATCAAGTAAAGCGGTGTTTCTTCGTGGACTGGATATTATGCGGTTCTAATAACATAGATCAATCGCTAAAAAAAGGTGCCATTCCTCTACATCAAATTTTGATTTGTGACGTAGACTTTATCATTTGTTCCAGAGGTTGAGCCATGCACTCTACGGTTCCGCTCACTTGAAGCCGATACGCTATATCAGTCCTTAGCTTTTGTTTCGCGATCTTTTAGAATTCCCGGAAAATTGGACATGAATCCAGGTTTCGGTCATGGCTAATCACCTCACTTACACCAAATTATCGAAAAATACATTCTTCATAGTTTTTCACGATCGTCTGTGAATTCAAAGATGAGTTCGCCTTCACTATCACAAGCCGAGAAAAGATGGACCCACAGCAATAATATGTATTTTCCTTTGAAGAATGCGCAAAGACGGGATGTGATCCATGGCCAGAAAATTGAAATGGGTTAGCCGCTTGCAAGTTTTGCGGCAATTCACCCTGACCATAATGGCGACTCTTGCCGGTTTTACAAATTGTGCACTCGCTTACATATCTCCACACAATCCGGTACAGTCCTCTCCGATGTTAGTTTATCCTGATCCATTAATACGTGCGGCCTACCCTTTGGATGAGTATGATCACGATGTAAAACATTACATTGTAAAAACTTGGGAATTACCAGACGAATCGACACTCCACGATCTTTTCTTCTTTCCGCTTCCCTATAACAGGAAAAAAATCAATCCACTTTAGTCTAATTTATAATCCGGTGCAATCAGGGCACAAATCTCGCCTGATTACGATAAGATATGTCCATAAGTTAGATCTCCGAGTCGCAGCTACCTTTACTGGGAAATAGACTTTTCACAGTATCAGCAACTCACTTAAGTGATTAATTGTCATCAGATTTTTTCCTTCCTGATTTAATACCTCAACGCCAATTTTCTATCGCTTTAAAGCTTTGCTTCATGGACGATCAATTCTCTGTTTCAAAGCCCGCTGCATTTGTATAATTATAAACATTGGCCATGATCGAAGATATCCCATCGGCTTATGCCGCAGTGATAGCAAACCGGGTGCCTATAATGGATCTTGCTCCGCATCTGCCTGATAACCAATTATCGGTGCACAAATGACCACATTCCCCCCTAGTCCGGTCATTAAGTACATCCAAACTGAAAAATAGCCCATGGTATTCTGCTTCATTTACTTTCAACTTTTTGCAAACTCGGAAGTCGCAGCCACGATCGCCCACTCAGCTACCTACCACACTATCAAATTGTATCCACCTACCTTCTTCTTTACATTAGCCGATCCGTAGAATCTACACATTAGGAGGTTATCGTCTACTTTCATCATTAGTAATGGTAAGATTATGGTTTGCCGTTGCTGTTTTGTTGAAGTAATCGCTATCATTACTTCGTTTTAGTCTTTCATGGGAGTCACACTTGCCGCTTAAATGCCCAACCACTCCTCTTTTCCCCTTTCACATCGTCGGGTCTCCAACGTACAGTATGATAGTAACGCATTCATCTCTCTAATCTTACGTTGAGGCCATATGACTGCATTAGTCAAGCCATGGTCGCATATCTCGTAAGTATTGTAATCTCTCTCAAAACCAACATCACATTACAAATATCTAAAATTTAGGAGGACAGCTAACACCTCTTTCTTGACCGTTCGATGATAGATTTCATTATGCTTCAACGTGCAGCTAAAAAAGGTGACTGAACATTAAATATAAGTCGTACTCCTGATTAAAATTGCTCATACGCCCACTTACGGGCGTACGCCACATCACAGGCGATTAGATCTGAATCGGAAGTTTATAGATCGGTATTTTAGCAATTTTTGCCGTTAGCAGATTAAAAGCTATTGCCCGTTTTATACCAACTCCGGTTCCTGAGGTCAGGATTGCCTCCAATATTTTGATTAGATCACCCCCAATTTTGTTTCTGGATCGCCCCTGTAATTTCGCCAGGATCGCGTTTGTACATACCTCGTGAATCTCGACCTCGAACAAGTCGTCATCTGAATAGA